CGCATGAGATAGACGAAAAGGGTCGTGAAGGTTGAATTTCATCATCAAGTCTGTCAGTGGTAGGATTGCTTTAACTGATTTGCTGTCATTCTCATAATCATCCAAGGACCGATTCCAGTCACTGTAATTATTAAATTATCAACATCTGGCAGATAATATAGTAATTCTTGCATAAAGTTCTCTTGTTCCCGTTTGAGGACTGATGCATAAGCCGTGGCCACAACCCATTCCTACTGCCATATCCTTAGTTTTATCCAAGCCCACCTACCCCATGCATCATAAAAATAATCAATAATTTATACCTCCAGACCTCTATGTAGCAGGATCGCTACTCTGCCCTTGGATCCCTGGGCCGGCGATCAAATTTGTGGTTCGTCCCACCAACCCCCTAACTTGTTTATTTTCTTCTCATTCAATTTTGTTTCCTATAGACAAATCAGGTTGACATGATTATCGTGTATCCACTTTTTTTAAACGGGTCTCCTTACACTTCCCTGCTGAATCCCCTAACATGCATACATTCTATGTGGCTATTGATAATTTAACCATTTATTCTAACCCCGCCTGACTGCGATTGGATGTGAGGTGCAGCAGCCCCAGAGCCAGACACAACTCTTGAGGAGGATCCTATAGACCAAGGTTTCGTCAGTGTATCCTTCACGAATTGAAAGTTAAGTTTTTTTTCCTTTGGGAATCCGATCTTGACTTCTGCGAGGCATTTCGCCGACACTCTAAGTGCAAGAAAAATCCTACTTAACTCTTGCTTTCTACCTTTCACGAACTAGGAGATGGGCACCAAACGCAGACCAAGTTTCTCGAGGTTACCTAGGTTAGCCTCATTGATCCTTGCGTCAATCAACGACACGTAAAATTTCACCTTATTTCCGGACGTGTTTACAATAATTCGGGCCTTTGAGATATTAGGGATGACTCTAGTGGGAAACTACTCGAGGTACAACATTTTGATACCCTGCATGATAGAAACTTGAGGAGGTGGGATATTTGTAACTGGCTGGAAAAATAGTGTAAGTAGGTCGTTACGTGTCTGCCGAGAGATTACCCAGAGTCCATTTCTTACCGCCGCACATAAGAGTGAAACCAAAATTTGTTCCACTCCCGAGCCTTATCCTCGTGCTATTGTCGCTAGTCTTCTGCTCCTTGTTGTCTTTACTCCTTTCGTTACTGTGCAGGGGTCCTGATTAGGTGAGTGCGCTGAAGATTATCCTGAAGCTTCGGTCTTGCTTGCTCGCTTGTCACTTCCTTCGCTGGTGTCGGTGTTGCTCCTTGAGATTCCTGGCCATCTGTTCCTCCAAGGCCCGTCGATCTTGGAATTATGTCTTCTCGTCCTAGTGATGTCCTTGGTGTGTTCATACCGTGCTCGCCGCTTTGATTGACACCTCCACCGAGGCCGCCATTCAGTGAGGATGCATATCCAAAATTCGAACCTCCAGCCATGATATTCCCTCACTCATACGTCTGGAAGGCCGAAGTTCTATGGGGAGCAAACCCTCCTCCCCCTGCCATACAACGCCTCGCTTGCCCCATGATGCCGCCTGGGAAGGGGGGGGTACCCCATCCCATGCCTAAGGGGTCAATCCCTCCTTGGAAAGGCATCCCAGAGGAGGGGAATGTTGTATGTCGATGGATTGGCAACATTCTTGCACCAAAGACTGCACCACTCAGTGAGTAAGCTAGGTTGAAAACCGCGTTAGAAAATCCTTGTATGCCCCCATTGCCTGTCGGCAGAAACACCGACGGTCTCGGTGAGACTCGGAGGGCTCAAGTTCCCTGGTATGGTTGTCGATTTTGTGACCTTCCTCTGCGTGTTGAATTCCCACCTGCCATCGAGGTTGCTGGATCCACCTGAAAGGTGTTCTCCCCGCTCTCCCTTCCGCGTTCCTGGCATTCCGCCTACAATTTGCTTCCTCGTGGAAGAATTGCTTGCATCTTCAGCATTTAAGCGTAGTTGAGTATGTTAATCTCACTTCCAAGCAATCGTCGGTGGAAGTATTGATCCAGAGCTTATCCTTCATGTCACCTCTTGCGGCTGGGTCCAAGTCGAATCTTAAGTTCTCTAGCGCTGGCCTTGATGAATCTGCATCCGGTGAATGTGCATGCAAAATTGTGCCGATCGCTTTCTCCAGCTGTGTGTAAATAAACGACATGTCGTCGATCGGAATATGCAATGCGATTACCCAAAAGATTATTTCATCTTCTGATCTTCGGAGGTCCCTGAACTCCGCGCGGGTTATCCCAAGGTTTAAAGAGCATCTTGTAAGTCACATTCCTCAGCGTGATCTTCACACCTCCTTCTTCGATCATATAAGCCGCCACCTCTCTTGACTTCGCCACTTACTATGAGACCGCGTTTGGGCTTTCCACTTTGACTCTGCCTCTACGAACTTCCGCTGGAAAGTATCACTTCTGAGGATCCAACCATCTTCATATGCGCGAATGGTATCGTCCTTAATCTTCTTTATGAGAAATTTTGCGTTCTCTTTGAATATCACGAAAACAATGTGTTCCTTCAACTACTTCACCTTAATTCCATTGAGCGATGTATTTAGCATGAAACTCACTTCTCGCCTTTGCACCGTCATTACCCCGGGGTCTAGATCCGTGGCGTAAACTCCGTCGTCAAAGCATATCGTCAGGAGTGCTCTGATTCGATCCTCGTTCTCCCAATAACTTTGTTGCTGATCAGCTGGTGCTGGAAGTGGGGGACCTTGCCCCCCCGAGAATTCCACCGTTTGTCTCCTTCATCCATCGCTGGTACTTGAAAACCCTCTCTCCTCGTGTGTCACTTAATGTCCTATTGGTTGCACGTCTCCGTTATCTCCTTCTTCTAACCTCTTCCCAGTTCTTATGATGTTTTGTATAGTCTTGCAGTTTCTCGCGGCGCATGAGGGCGATCACCTGTCGTTCAGCTGCATATGGTGGGCAAACCAACCATTGTTGCTTCTCACCCGACCGGGGGAAGTAGCGGGAATACTGGTGAGCTATCTCGGCGGTAGCACATCGGTTGACCCTAGGGCCGTAACGCAGGGGCAGAGCGCTCTCGTGCGCCCCTCCTCTCGTTTTTGGATATCCTGCCACGCTTCTCTCTCTTCGTCTCCAATTTCAATAGCCTGTGTGATGAAGAGAAACTATCGAAAAATGGTGTTTTCGACAGTTCGCAGCCCGTCAGGGGTGCGTTTTATGCCCCTGAGAACATTTTCGTCGTCGTTCATTATATGGTCGTTGGAAGGCTGGAAAAACAAGGCATGGCAGTTTAGGGGGTGGTGGCATCTTATTTGAAACTGTGGGACTGGTAGCTGCGCGTGGGACCGCACGGGTTTTGATCCAGGACCGCGTAGGACCGGTAGCTACGCTTAGGAGGCCGAGGAGGCCGCAATCCTTTGAAACGGTGCGGGTCCACTTTTCTCGAATAGCAGAGTTTCTCGAATAGAAAATGCACACGTTGCATTCGAATACAACCTGTACCCTTTCTATTCGGATTTCAAAAAGAGAAAACTCTTGTATTCCGATCAAATTACTACTTTTGTTCGGGGTTCAGCGCCTGCCCTTGTGCTTCTCGCCACTGACATGCTGCATGCTGCAGGTCTCTCTCTCTCTCTCTCTCTC